ATAATAGGAAAAATTCTTCTCTGAAAAAAATAGAAAAAGTAATCAGTAATCTATGAAAGCGTTACATATATATATATATATATATATATATATATATATATATATATATATATATATATATATATTTTTAGAATACAATATAAAATAATATATTGTAAAAAGAGGCGTTTAAGAAAGAATAGAAAATCCGAAAAAAATTTGGGTTATAGAGCAAAATATAATTAAGGACACCAAAATTCAAGCTACCACGCTACCCACTGAGGAGACGTAACGGTTGAAACCTGTGTAGTGAATTTCAGTAATATATATATATATATATATATATATATAGAGAGAGAGAGAGAGAGAGAGAGGGAGAGAGGAGAGAGAGAGTGAGAGAGAGAGAGAGAGAGAGAGAGAGAGAGACCATTAATAGGATTAATACAAATAAAATGTGCCACTTAGATGATTGATGTTATATTCAGCATCTCAGCTCCGGAGTTTCGTATATCAACACTTTTTGAAATTTTGTGATCAATATTGGTTCTCTGTAATGTCAAAAAATAACAATTCACCTGCAAGATCTACATCACAGAGAACCAATATTATTTAGGAATCCACATGTCCCTTAAGGCGCTGTGTTCCTGACCAATCAAATTTGTAAATAAGAAGATTCACGTTACATCTCTCTGACTATAGCTTAATTAGGTCTCTGACTATAGCTTATTTAGGTTAAATACACATAAAGATCTACCAAACTCTATCCGTAATATACTCGTTGATAATACAAATATAATAGCATCCACCGCATGTACAAAAAGGTTAAAATTAATGGAAGCATTATTAATGAATAAAAAAAAGCCAACGCTCAATAATATCAACTATGAACACCGCCACAATGCGTCGACCGTGTTTGGAAAATAAAGCATTTTTATAACTCTAGATGCATACATAATACAATGTAAAATAAAATAAATCCTTGATAATGACTAAAAGTATAGGCAAAAGCGCTTGGAAAATATTCGGACAATTTTTATATAATTTATATACAGAAAAGAAAAAAAAAATACGAACACATGAGAAATTATGTAAAAAACTCAACCACCACGCGTTGTCAGTCGTTTTCAACGAAACTTGCACACACACACACACACACACATATATATATATATATATGGCTTGACGATTGCATATAGCATGAAACAGACTGTCGCCTCTAAGTGTTGACTTCTATGTTCACTTTTATATTTACACACGCTCTATCTCTGATATTGAGCACTTTATTCCATAAATATAGCACACCTTAAGACTATATTTCTATATATATATATATATATATATATATATATATATATCTTATAAAGATAGGAACGCTGACGCCTGACCGGAACCACAGTTTCGACCGCCAAAGTCTCGTCATGTGCTTTCTTCAGCGAATCAGTCAGAGGCAAAGCAAGAACTTAAATGCCTTCATCGAAACAGCGGTTGTGTTCCGATCAGCCTTCTTATCTTTTAAGATATTGAATCGGTCTGCAAATTTGGTTTTCCTACTTGAATTTGAAGACTTTTTAACATGTACGATATATTGACGTATATATATATATATATATATATATATATATATATATATATATATATATATATATATCCAGCACTAAGTGTTCTTAACGATTAAATTTACTTCATCTTAAGTAGCATCTTAGTAGAATTTGCTTTAAGAGCAGTTTGATTAGTGCATCTGGGTAAGAAGTTTTCAATAAAGAACGATTTTGTTTTTACTTTTATTAGACAATATAGAAAATATTTTTCAACCCCAACTGATGATATTTATGACATGCATTATTTTTTTTTATTGTTTTCATACTTTTGCTCTGCTGGTCAAAGAAAAAAAAACAAAAAAAAAACATTTAACACCATTTAAACCATTTAAATGTTAGGTTGAGTCAAAAGTAATTTCCGATTTGGGGAAACCAGTTGTAATGACGCATGAATCATCCTAAATGCTAATCATACGTGGAAGTTAAGAATAAATTAAAGTATTAACATTGCTTAGTTTTACACAGCATTTCCAACGCACACAGTGGATTAAAGAATAAATTACTTAACCTCACTAATGGAGTGTCAGAAAGTCACATTCGGTGTAGCATATCTCTTACCTAATTCAGAACCGCTCGCAATCACTGCAAGTGAATACTGGAAAATACAAAGAGCAGCTATGCGCAGGCAGTCCAAATCAAACAACCTTGGATCTTGCGAGTTTTGGAAAATCTTAAACGTCATTCTTAATAAAGGCAGATCCTCACTTTCTGTACTCTACAACCTAATTCTACCCGCTGAATAGTTGGGTCAACCAGCAGGCTTTTTCTCGCCAGGATTGTTGCTAGGCACTCAGCAGTATTAAAACAAGACATCTCTTCGTGTCAATAGCCATCTAGCAAAATGCGAGTGGACCGGCTTGCATGGCTATCTATGCAGCCATTGAGGTCATGTCATCTTAGACTGAAGGGCTTCTTAGACTGAAGTCAACGGCTAGGACGGAGGGTTTCACTGATGGAATCAATCGGCAGGTATCTGAGACCGAAGCAAGCTTCAAGTTGTGGTTGGACCTGGAGATGGATGAGCACCGCCAGATCTACTTGCCCAAGACAAGCAACGCATGAATAAATACTTCTTCGGTTTTCAACTTCTATACTTGAAGGGAAATAGCCAGTGACTCAGCTGCACAGCGAACCTACGACCGCACTTGTTCATGGGACACATGATGATGATGATACACGAATCGTTTTCTAAAGTTTTCCAGATAGCATACTCCGCTTTGCGATCCGAGGTTTCCTCAATTGCTCCCTCATTTTCACGTTTTGTGAGTTTTTAACCAATTACACTTATTCTGTCTCAATTTATCCACTGGCGAATTTTCCGTCTGAAGACGATTGTACGAGAGGAATTAAAAACATTAATACAGCGTAAAGTCCTGTATTATATGTTACTAAAATCCTTTATTAATAAAACATTTGTAAAATATCGTACTAATTATAGGTTTTAGACCATCAATTCCCACTATTCACAAAATAGGATAGTAGGCATTAGTAAGTGTTATGGTACCTTACCCATAATAACATAATGGACTATTCCATACGTAATAAATTCTGCGCCTCAAGAGGAAGCAGGGAGTTCAGTCCGAAGTCGGGCGACCGGCTGACCGGCTGATCGGTTGAACTCTCTGCCTTCGGGCGGGGTGGAACCCGAACGAGGCTACGCCGAAGGGCGGAGTTTCTTTCGGGGAGGTAAACCGACCCTGAACCCGTTTATACGGTTTCAAAGGGCATATTTTTGGCCGAGCCCACGGGCTTGGAGATCCCACGTTAAACCGGCCTTGTGCCACATGATGCCCTCGTGGGGGGGTGACTAAATACCGTTCCGTCTGAAGTCTGGAGTGAAGTCTGGAGTGAAGTCCGTCAGGAGTCAGTCAGTCGAGTCAGAGGCAGTCCGAAACAGAGTCGCGTTCAGACAATTACTACTAAGCCTGATTGTTCATACTAACACTTTTCTACCTCCCTGTATATATTCCTGTTTGTAATATATCTGTGTTATTCCATATCCGTATTCGAGTTCTTTATTGGTTCTACCTTGGATTATCACCGTGGTACAAGGAACCGGATCATAAAAGTAAGTTAAGCTTAGTTATTATCTATTATCTGTCATATCTAGTCTGGTGCTTCTGCTATATATTTAGAAATTCTTGATGAAATACGAAGAATAATTTGCAATGATATAGGTCTCGACCTGGCATCTAGGCTTCAGTCATTTTCCAACATAGCTTCCTTGTGCCTTATCTATAAATATTTTTATCGTAATTGTTCTGATGAGCTTTCCTACGATTGGGTCAGTGTTTGCGGCTAGCTAAGTTATAGTTAAGACAGAAGAAGACCATCCTTTCCCCAATCCCCCCTTTGTCCATGTGCCACATTTCTGTATTAAACAGAATAAATATCACTTTCCTCTATGGTACGTAGACTTTATGAATCTAAACTCATTTCTTGATTGGTGGTAAATTAGGTAATTTTCCATTTGGTAACCTTCTATGTTAACAGTTTCTTCAATCACAATTCTCGCTTGTGGAACTCTATTTTGACTTCTAGTTTCCCAGTCTACTTTGATCTTCAAACGTTTTTATGTAATGTCAATCGATATTTTCTCTCTTCCTAATTATTATTATTATCATTATTATTATTATTATTATTATTATTATTATTCTCTTGCTGGCTGTATTGCCTTACTCAGGGTGAAATGATTTTAAAAAATCGAGACAGAAGTCAGAGCATTAAAGAAAAAGACCAATAAAAGGAATTTTCTCTATGACGATTGGTTAACAGAAATATGACGTCATTCAGCCATTGTACTTACCTTATATTTTCCGCTCTTATATAATCCTCATCATGATTGATTCAGTTAGTGCATTTTTCGCCGCTGTATATTGTTCATGGTGACATTCAAGGCAAAATAGTGCAATGGCTTGCCGGTTCCTTTTGCACTGGGGACGATGAAGTTACACAGTCCCTCCTCTCAGAAGTTCCTCCGCCCACAGGTAAAGCCGTTGACCTCTGAGGCGCAGTTCCTACGCCAAGGCTAGCGACTGACTGATGGCCGCTTGGCACAGGTGGTTTGGGGAGAGACCTTCCTTTCACCGGTTGGGTCGGGAAACCCTTCCGACTGTCCTCATAAAGTTTAGCCACCCGGTCGATGCAGTTGACCAGGATGTGGTCGTCTCAGTGCCCATGCGATTCCTTGGAGCCAGGTGTGAGAGTTGGATGCAGGCCGTGGACCAGTACAGTTTCGCATCCTAATTCACCTGAGTAAAGCAAGGTTAACCGCTTCGCTGCAAAAGTACTACCACACAAACTATACACCTATCTTTCTTTTACCCTGTGGATTAAAAAACAGTTTTATCATCATCATTATTATTATTATTATTGAGAGCAGCCGTCAACAAACTGATACTAGAATACAAACATAAAACAGCTTACAGCCATATCTCGTTAAAACACCGGTTCTCGTACGATCACCGAAGTTAAGCAACGCCGAACCTGGTTAGTGCCATTATGGGTGACCTTTTGAGAATGCCAAATTCTGTAAGCTTGGATATGCGAATGGTTTAATGGATAACGGCCTAGAATTGGAAAGTGCTCCAGTTTCTTTTGTTATATTTATTTACGCTCAAACACCCTAACGAAATGTACGAGTCCACATATTCTCCCGACTCCCAGCTAATGATTAATTAGTAGGACTTGTATCAGTAAACCATTATTAGTTCCGCCTCAAAAAAATCTTACAATCTAAAAATATTTTCCGGCTTTAAATAACTTGTAAAAGGTTGATAAGCCGTAAAAAACAATCAATATATGTACTTGTATGCATATACCGGACGTACAATCATATGCTTATGAAGAAGACTTATATTGCATCTCCCGGATCATAGCGATATGGTGATGTTTTTATAAAAACCAGCACATTACCTTGCAAGTGGGTCCCAGTTAGAAATACGTACAGGTTGGGTAACTTATAAGAATATTAAAAATAACATATTCTATGTATGACAATGTTCTTAGTCCTCTTCCATCTACTCTACTTGAAACCTTCCACATTATCCAAGATGTTATTCTACCATTTAAAAATAAAAACAGACTACAATCTTATTATTTAATATTGTCATCAATTGCCTGGTGGCATTCTACTAAATCTCATCAACAATATGTATTCTCCCGTTCAAGAGCGAATTCAGCTCAGAAAAAAGACCAACAGGAAGTCAAACATGAACTGTACAGATCTGACAGATGTAAATAATGTGATATTTTACCTAAAATTAAAAATAAGTGATGTACGAGACGTCATTGTAAATATGTTTGTCGCACAGAAAACGAGCACACTTAATGGCGTCTCACTGCTAACTAGGTAACACCATAGAAGGATGACAATACACGCATGCGCATTGGATCGGGTCACTCTGATTGGTTGCCAAGTTACATCAACATTCAAAATAGCAGTATGATTTACAGACAGACATATCAACGCGAAGACATTTATTATAGACGGAAAAGGAATCTGAAAAATCACCGTGAAAAGAACTCATAATTGATGAACACGTCAAATAATATTTCAGAAGGGGTTTCTCTCTTTATATACTCAGTTACACTACACCTGTTTGTATCCTTTCCCTCTTTTTTTATCTGTTCAAAGCTGTACAAAACACTGCCTGTGTGGATACAATGTGGCAAAATCCATGGGCACTGAAATATACTTGCTCATTAGAGCCTTTTATTGATCTCCTTTTGAAGATATCAGGAAAGTACTTTAGTATGTGAATATAATATATACACACACACACATATATATATATATATAATATATATATATATATATATATATATATATATATATAAAATAAAAATATATGTCTGTGTGTGTGTGTGTTTAAATTATTTGATTTAAAATGGTTTCTTCATACACAGTTCTAACCATGAAGTTTCAAAAATGGAAGCTAAAAGCTTCGAATTTCATTTTGTAATAGAACTGTGTAGCGAAAAAACCATATCTTAAATCAGTTAATTTATAATATTAATGCTCTGTAAATTTACATTGAACACTATTTTGCAAAAAGAAAAATATCTATAAGAACACCGGTGTTCTTATATATATATATATATATATATATATATATATATATATATTATGAGACATGTTGAGACAGATAGATAGATAGATACATAGATAGATAGATAGATAGATAGATAGATAGATAGATAGATATTAACATGTTGAGACAGATACATGTGAGCAGACATAGATAAATATAAAAAAAAATAGATAGATATGCGGGAGCTATTGACTATAACAATAATTTTATAATATGGACAATGAATCGAATAGACCGGTTTGAGTTAACTATAGTCTTTTCATCACAGAAATTCAGATAAAAAATTAGCACAAAATTATCCGTATAATTTGGTAATAATAATAATAATAATAATAATAATAATAATAATAATAATAATAATAATTTAAATACAGCACACAAAAAACTCGCCAAAGAACTTCAAGAAATGGTTACCGATCCAACTAAAATTCCTGCATGGATGACCAAAGGAGTTACCTTTCTTCTACCCAAAAATAGTGACACAAATATTCCGAAAAACTATAGACCAATTACATGTCTTCCAACAACATACAAACTGTTAACATCTATTTTAACAAAACAGACATATTTCTTCTTGGAAAGAAATGACATACTACCACTTGAACAAAAAGGGTGCAAACGAGGCTGCTACGGATGTAAAGACCAATTACTTATTAATAGGATGATCCTGGAAAAACTGCTTCCGTGGAAAAAAAATCTTAGTATTGCCTGGATAGATTATCGTAAAGCATTTGATAGTGTACCACATTCCTGGATCTTAAAGTCTTTAAGTATGTACAAGGTATCACCCGTTATCATCAATTTCATCAAACAATGTATGTCGATATGGAAAACTACACTTTACCTCAATCATAAAATGGAACCTATAAGTCTGGCGAAATAAACATCAATAGAGGAATATTTCAAGGTGACTCTTTGTCTCCTTTTTATTATTTTGGGATATCACTTATAGCATTAACCAGCCAACTTAACAAGACAGAATGCGGTTACAAAATAGCTCAAAAGAAAATAAACCATCTATTTTACATGGATGACTTAAAATTGTATGCTAGGAATGACAATGAGCTGGAAGGTCTTCTGCAAACTGTAAAATGCTTCAGTGAAGACATTGGAATGAAATTCAATTTGGATAAATGTGCTAAAGCTACAGTTTTACGAGGATCGTTTCCTCTATTAGTTTAGACCCTGCTGTAACAATAAAAGATTTAGAACAAGGAGAAGCTTATAAGTACCTAGGTGTAAATGAGAGTGAAGGAATTCACCATAAGAAAATGAAAGAAATAGTGCGTAAAGAGTACTATAGAAGGGTGCGGCTGGTATTAAAAACTGAATTGAATTCTCAGAACAGAATTATGGCCATTAATAACCTAGCCATCCCAGTGGTCCAATATAGTTTCAACATCTTGAACTGGACTCTAAATGACATCAGACAAATGGATTCTAAAACAAGAAAGCTTCTTTCTAAGTATAAGATGCATCATCCAAAGGCTGATGTAGACCGTCTATACATACCCCGTAAAGAAGGTGGAAGAGGTCTTATTCAGCTAGAATTGTCATATAAGACAACAACTATTGGCTTACTAACTTACATGGAAACAACAAATGACTGGATGATAAAATTAGTGAAACAACATGAAAACAGAAAGAAAAAATATTCAATAATAAAAGAAGGCAGTAAATACAAACAACATTTACATTTAGTAGATTCTGTAGTAAATCAAAACAGAAGCCAAGAACCAACTATTGCAGCAAAAGATATGAAAAAGAAAGCCAAGGATAAAGCCCTTGAACAGATGAAACAACGCTGGCAAGACAAACCTCTGCATGGCCAATATCCAGAACGTGCAAATAAACCCAATGTTGATAAAGTTAATACTCATCGATGGTTACGAGAATCTGGATTAAAGTCTGAAACTGAAGGTTTATTCTTGCAGCGCAAGACCAGAGTCTTTTTCACTAGGAATTTTCAGGCAAATATCATACATAATAATGTGGATCCAAAATGCAGGTTCTGTGACAAATACCAAGAAACAATAGACCATCTAATCTCAGGATGTTCTATACTTGCCCCAAATGAATATAAAAATCGTCACGATAGAGGGGGCAATACTTTACACTGGACAATGTGCAAACACTTTGGAAAATGTGTAAGCAAACACTGGTATGAACATCGGCCAGCGCCGGTTACAGAAATAGAAGATGTCACCATTCTATGGGATTATACCATCCACACAGACAGAAAAATTGAAGCAAATAGGCCGGACATTATTGTCAAAAACCAGAAAGAAAAAAAAACTTGCCTACTAATTGATATGGTTTGTCCAGCGGATTGTAACATAGCAACCAAGGAATTTGAAAAACTATCAAAATACAAAGACCTGGAAATTGAAATAGAAAAAATGTGGAAATTGAAAACAAGAATAATACCAGTGGTAATAGGTGCACTTGGAATTATAAAAATGGAACAAAACAACACATTGAAAGAATCCCTGAAACCCCAGCTTAAGAGACATACAGAAAATTGTCTTATTAAGTACAGCACACACACTAAGGAGAACTTTGTCTATGTAACGCTAGCAACTTCATCGGAGATAAAAAAAAAAAAAAAAAAAAAAATTAACATGAAATGTGGCCATAACAACACACCACGACCTGCCTTAGGTCTTTCCGCAGACTTGGTAGGTAGTGTGTCCATAGCAGAAATCGAATGATGATGGAAAGGTGCATGGGAAAAATTGTGTCAGCCGAAAATGCAGATAGATAAATACAAATGAGTTCACCATCTTGTATCAGCAGCGCGGTATTGGCACCCATTGAATATAGACCACCCATGCGTGGAATTACCAAACAACTAGCATCAGGACAGGGGTTTATAAGAAAACATCACCCACAAGGGCGCATAGATAGACAAATGAGAATGGGCATTTATAAGCGATATCCAGAAATCCAATTTAATCAGGACAGCTGAAAAAAACCGTCTGGAAAAAAAAAAAAAAAAAAAAAAAAAAAAAAAAAATCTGGTAATGATGTAGCTAGGTTGAAACATTAAAATTAGGTCATAAGGATGACTTGACGCTATAAAAAGTAATGTCGAGATTTTAGAGACCTTATTTCGTCTTCTTTGTCTCGTATTAAGATGGAAGTTTAAAAAATGTTTGTTTTGCTAAGATATAATATTTTTAGGCATTTTGGAAGCGAGGAAATATCAAGTTTTAAATCATGTGAAAAATATACGTGGCCGATTATTAGGTCTCCTTAAAAAGACCCCTCCCGCTCCATATCGTAAGTCGAATGAAATGGCCAACGGAATAGATGGAAACTCATTCTTCATCAACGAATACCATGCTATCCTTAATGGACCAGACGGATAAAACAAAAACTAAATGGCTGCTAGCAGAAACCATCTTTACAGGGTGAAATGTCAACAAGGCAGA